AAGTTGGCAACCCTGCGACCGTCCACACTCAGTCACAACAACGGCCTATACAGACATAAATAAACCAGCGGCTGTATTCGCCATGACAGGCAGTCTGTGGTTTGTACTTGTTTAACTTTTGTCTAGTTTCTGAACAGATATGAAGAGCTGTGAGCTCTGAGTGCTAAGAGCTAACGGCTGTGTTGTTTTTCTGGGGCGCTCATTGAAGATGACGTCACGGCTCCGCCTACACTGCGTTACTATAGTAACTGTCCCAGTTCCTAAACTGTAATGGAAGCGCAGCATTAGTGTTTTCTGAGGAGGGGAACAAATGCATGCTCAAGAATAACAACATGTACTGTAGGAGAGGACTAGAGCAAAAGCAACACTTGTTATGATTCTGCTGTAATTCTACAACAAAAACAGGGACAACCAACACACTGAATTGTGGATGCTGGAACATAAGGTGAGTAATTGCACCCATAAATAAGGACCCAGAGAATATTCCCTTAAATATCTAATTGTTTTCGATCACTAGCACCAATTTTATGAGTTTTTTCTATATACGCTTTTGTTACATTATGTTAGCCTTTTATTACTATCCTGTAACTGACATTCAAGAAGGTGGATACTCACAGTGTATGCTGACACATCTCTCATAACCATATGCACACTGTTAATCCATTAATTAATTAATACAGATATAACTTAGTCACAGATAACGCTGTAAAATCCAGTATATTGTATGTGACTCATGCGCCAAAGTGTCCCTCCAGGCCTCCTCTCTCCACTTCAAATGTATTTGCATGTCTAAAGCCGTAGAGTCATGAAGAGGCAACCAACCACAGCGACACAGTGTCAGTGCTCAGTGCCTCCCTAGAGCTGCTGGAGCACTGTCAGCCTTTAGAGAAAGCAAATCAGAGAGTCTCTACAGGTCCCCTATGGGAGGAGAAGAGAGCTCTTATTCTACCTCGGTGGAAAATGCCTGTACCTACAGGGGCACCGTTACACACAGCTGGGATAATAATAAGTATCACAGGGAGACCCGGCACCAGCAAACTGACACCAAAGCATGGATTTCTTCCCTATTCACCATTGCCCCCAAATGAGCTCATCCTAAAAAGCCAATGGAACGCCTTCCCCCTAGCTTTAGGAGGGCTTTAGAATGTTGGAGCCAGTGTGCCATGTAATACGGGATGTAGTGTATAGGACCACAGGGGAAAGTGGATGGGGTGAAGCAGTGTGGGGCTAGCTATTCTCTGGAATGCAAGCTTTAATCAAAACACTTGAAATACACGCAAGGACTACACAAACGTTCATTTTAAATGTATCACCCTTTGTACTTTCTTTAACCACTTAGCACACACATAGTATCCCTTAGTTTCCCATTACATATCTTTAAGGTTGGTAAATGTATCTTATATGTCACTCTTTTGTGGTATTATATAGAATATTGTGATTTAAACCTATATTTTTTATCTATTGAAAATGATTGTATAAATATGTCTTACAATTTCAACTTACCTATTGGTTATATTTGTAATTGTTGGATCAGGAAATGATGTACTGTAACAAATGTCTCAATCTGTTGATACCATACTTTAATGTACCTTGTTCAGAATGATGTTTTAAATGTAGCTATAAAATAAAGATGATTTAACTGTCAATGCATTCATCATTATAGGCTTTACTAGATTTTAGTAGCGTTTGGATCAGCCAGAGAGAGATTCATTTCCATTGTTACAGGGTCAAATCAGCAAGGGACTGCAGGAGTTCAAGCCAAGGATTACATTTGTCACAGTAAAAGTGTACCAGTAGTGTTTATACGAAGGCACCGACAGAATACATAGCAAGTGAGAGCCATAACTTCAATGTGAGTTTCACTTCACGAGACATTAGCATAAAGCCTTTGCTTTATCAACCATACTTCCATGGAAGAGGAGAAATGAATGCCTCACTAACACAAAAGCCTTAAGTCGCCCGAGGCCCACCTCCACTCCTACTATCCGTTTCCTCTCTCACTTTCTTCAGCTCACTCTGCTCTCTCCCTCTCTGGCATTCAGCTTAATAAGTTAGCGTGAATAGCCGTGACCGAATATAATGCCTAAGACCTGCTAGCAGGCTGTAAATGTAGCCCTAATGGCTGAACCATTATAACATTAGGTACAGACTCCGCAGCAGGACGCAGGGGGATGAGGAGCTCCTTCTCCATTAGCTGATTGAATAGGAAACCAGTTATGTGGGCTGGGAATTGTTTGCCTCACCTCAACAGAAAATGAGATGTAAACACTTGGTGGGCTCAGAAAAATGGCATATGAAAGTATTGTAACACGTACAAGACCTACTTCACCACCCAGCAGTAACACACAGGTAGTCTAATGTGTTATAACATCCACCCCATGTTCTTCCTGAGCCACAGTGAAGGCCTAATGGACCATGGCATGCTGGAGTGGCTGGCCGGCTGTCTGACACTACACATCTCACATTAGGATCCAACATTTACCCAAGTGTAGAAGTGATTTAAGAAATTATATAAATATATATATATATATATATTCGTGATATGGCTTTGTTGCGGAGAGTGCGGTGAGATGTTGGAGGAATATGAGAGGCTTGACAACCCATAAGTGTTTCTTTTCTTTGTAACCAGGTCAACGGCCAAGATATTTCTGTACAGGGAGTAGGGGAAGGGATGTGAGTAATGGGGGTTGTAGTGAATAGTTAAACACAGAGTAGTAGTATAGGATGGAAAAAGCATGTTTTTATCCCAGAAAAACATGCATGTACTGTAATGGACAGAGTCGGAGACGAAAGGCTTTCTGAGAAAGACGGGCCTGTTCAAACCACAAGGGATGATTCGATGTCATTAACAGTTTCCTAATCAGTCACAAAGCGCATCTGTTTGTGGAGGAGGCGTAACTTGAAGGGGAAACAAAAGTCCTGTTAGAGTGAGGGGGGAAATGCAGCCCACATGCAACTTGGAGTTAAATACAGATCTTAAATTGTGAGGAACAGCAACACGTATTACAGGAGCTTAGGATAAAAAATGTAACGGGAATATGATTTCCACACTTTTGTATCCAGTCAGGGAGAAAAGTTAACAGTGTAACCTCAGTTTGCCCTGCGATTGCCTGCTAAATGTTTCAGCTGACACAGTAATTATGCACTTTGCACATATTACCATGAATCTGACAAACCCCCGCTTGCCATTGGTGTTGTTGTGATTGCAGCTTTGCAGGCATCTGCATTTCAAACACCTGCCACCTTTTATAGATAACTAAACCCTGCATGAGCCCTGCCAAAGGCACTGGCTGCACTGTCTCACAGCCTTAGTGTTATGATATAGATCATATCATTCAAAGTTTTGCGCATTTAGATTTTCTTAGGGAAATAATTAGTGGGGTGTATCTGACAGGAGCCGCTAACACATTGCTCTTTGGAGTTAGAGTTTAGGTTACGGAGGTTGAAAGTCATCCAGCCTGAGCTTGATGCTGAATTTGCTTGACAAATGTTAGCTGAGAGCAGGCTTCGCTGTTTGCAGCACAGAATCATATTCAGAGGAGACGAGGCACAAGATATGCCCATGCATTAATGAGCATACACACTTGCTATATTAAGGACATCTTATGATGTTGAGAGGTAGCCCTATTTTCACAATCCACATCTTGGCTGTATCTGACAATTAAGGTCTCTAAATTGTCAGCTTCTCTTTATGTCCAACTCCTCCTCTGTGTGATAAGTGAAGATTTAATGAGGGAAATCAACATGGGATGGTGGGTTTAACTCTGGTCACGTCAAGTGCAGATGAAACGCCCCTCGTATATTTTACAACATATGTACATAAATGAGATGTTGTACAAAGGCTGCACTGCAAAGAGGTTCTGAATATATATCTGTGTACATGTAGCTATATCAATCATTTCTAAAGCAGGTATAAAATACTGCAGTTAAAACTGAGGATTCATGCCTTTATTCATGAATATATTCTTTTAATTGGGCTGTTTGAGTTAGATTTGACCTTCCATGATAGGTCAATAGACAGCAGATGTTACTGTATCATTTGCAATACTCTCTAGAAATGAGTTTTCGACTGAGTTGCCTTGGGTACTGCATGCGTTTTGATTAAAAGAGCTCTAAATACAAGGTTTTATTCCTTAAAAATAAAGTCTGTGAACACATATGTGAACATGACAGGCCATAAGGTTGAGGTTATAAGATGTGTGTGGTTACTCATGGGAAGAGCTAATTAAGTGGTGGTCTTTTGGGTCTCACTCAGTCATCTGTTCTCAGACTGAATGTAGTCATGCAGTGGCCCCTATGGGCTACCATCTGTAAAGCAAAGCCGATGCTGTTGTGCAAAGCCTTACTGTCTTTTTTCTCTTGTTGTAGGAGCTTGACAAGTCTTTGCGTTGCACGGCAAAATACAAATGCGGGTGTCAGTATACTGTGCTGCACATAATGAGTGAGTCAGGGAAACATGCTGCAGGTCATGTGTGAATAGACACTCGCACATGCGCACGCACGCACACACACACACACACACACAGGTCTGCTCTGCTCTGCTCTGCTCTGCTCTGCTCTGCTCTGCTCTGCTCTGCTCTGCTCTGCTCTGCTCTGCTCTGCTCTGCTCTGCTCTGCTCTGCTCTGCTCTGCTCTGCTCTGCTCTGCTCTGCTCTGCTCTGCTCCTGCTCTGCTCTGCTCTGCTCTGCTCTGCTCTGCTCTGCTCTGCTCTGCTCTGCTCTGCTCTGCTCTGCTCTGCTCTGCTCTGCTCTGCTCTGCTCTGCTCTGCTCTGCTCTGCTCTGCTCTGCTCTGCTCTGCTCTGCTCTGCTCTGCTCTGCTCTGCTCTGCTCTGCTGCTCTGCTCTGCTCTGCTGCTGGCTCTGCTCTGCTCTGCTCTGCTCTGCTCTGCTCTGCTCTGCTCTGCTCTGCTCTGCTCTGCTCTGCTCTGCTCTGCTCTGCTCTGCTCTGCTCTGCTCTGCTCTGCTCTGCTCAGCTCAGCTCAGCTCAGCTCAGCTCAGCTCAGCGCAGGACGCAGGAGACAGTCGCTCTCCACCGTGCTGAAAGTCGGAGCGCTCCCGCCTCAGTCTCGCCTGCTGACGGTTAATGCGACCTCTGCCGAAAAATCGAAAAACAAACAATGACATTTGGTTTAATGTGTCTTACTTCTACCCTTCTGGATTTGTATTTGCCATGAAACCGCTGGATGTATACACGCACGCAACAAGACTGACTGCAGCTCTCTAACATTCACCTGCGTGTGGGGAAATATTGAAAAGACTCCGGATTCTCGGGGAACGCTAGAGGATTTCTCTAGCTGCTCTTTTCTCTGTCTCTGTCTCTCTGTCTGTGCCGCATGCCTCTGGACGTGAACTGTTTGTCTCCAAAAGGTGAGTCCGGGGAGGATTATCATGAAGCAGACCTACTTTTACGTGGATATCGCTTTCTTTTCACTGGAAAAGGAGAATCATATCTCCAAAAGGCTGGTGTTTAATTGCTTTTAAATCCATCATCACGAACAGAAGGGAGGATTATAGTATTTGGAGTCTGTTGAATTTACCCTGTGGATAAAGTGAAGTTTCCAATAGGCTATAGGGGACTGTCTTTAATCTGCTGTAGCCCTCTGTGTTGGGCGCTCGCTTCACACACTAAGTGGATATCAAGCTATTTTAACGCGGTGAGTTTGCCCTATCCTGCACTACATATCCCTGTTGTCACTGGCATTTCGATTGATCTGTCAAGACATGCAGCAATTAGAAACAAATTGACTTCAAGCCGAGGGAAAATATGTATTTTCTGCTGTTATTCTTGCTTTACTGTGTTTATTGATGCTGTGGTTTTCCCTTTCACAGTGAGTGATGCATTTGGGATTAAATCATTGCGCATGATTCAGGACATTAGCATGTTACATTGCTAAATTTAAGAACAGGTTAGTTCAGAGTCTGAGCAGTCTTTAGACTAATGTCTATAATCGTTGGCTTCAAATAAAAATAAACCAGCTACTTGTTGTCTCTAATCGCTCTCATAGAGTTTGAATTAAACAAAGGTAGGTTGTGTTGTATTATATATGAGAAGAATACTGCGAGGACCCACTCCACCCACCTCAGATAGTGAATGATTTAAACATTTTTCTCTGAAGTTAAACGTCCCCACTGCTGCAATTTTGCATGAAGATAATTTGAATCTGCACACCCCCCACATCCCGTCACGAGCGCACATATAGAGCACTACACGCTTCGTTTGTCAACAAAGATTTGTTTTCCTTCGGGAATAATGACATTAGCCTGTTGAGTGACCTGCATGGGGGGGTCAGGAGATACAATAATAACTTGTATGATGATCTCTATAATGGCTGTTAGCGTACAAATGCACAGGATGTGAGGTGCTAATGAGGATGTGCCAAAACAACAGCCGTGGAGTCATCGTCCATCATAGGCTATCATCTCTTATTTGTCCCCACTGCAGCCTCAAGTGATGATGATGCTGACGAGAGTAATGAGGATACGGGGAGCGTAGCGATGACATCCACAACATCTTGTTGAATGTGGACATCGATGCCGCGGCGAAGGATGGGCCCTCTCCTCTTGACCGCCTTCCTGTTCCTGCTGGCCCTGAGCGCCGTGTCCCCGGCCTCGGTGGGAAACCCCGAGGATTACACCGCGGACGAGGCGGAGCGGACGGCCACTGAAAACATTGTATTCGATGACTACCGGGGTAAAGGGTGCGTGGATGACAGTGGTTTTGTCTACAAACTCGGGGAGCGCTTTTACCCGGGACACTCGAACTGTCCGTGCCAGTGCACGGAGGACGGGCCTGTGTGCGACCAGCCCGAGTGCCCAAAACTGCACCCCAAGTGCACAAAAGTGGAGCACAATGGATGCTGCCCCGAATGCAAGGAGGTTAAAAACTTTTGCGAGTACCGGGGGAAAACGTATAAAATACTTCAAGAATTCAAGGTAAGATCTGATTTCTAGAATTCAACAGAGATCTTGTAATATGAAAGGTGATTTCTAGCTGGTTGGTTGCCATCAAACGTTTCAATTATATTATGTTTCTCTCTCATATAAGAGGGAACATTCATGTGTACAAAAAAAAAAAAAATACAATTTGCAATCTAATTATTGGCCTTCCATTTGATATATGTCTTCCAGAATATTCACAGTAGTTGATATGCTATGAGGTCACATCTAAACTTCTATAAGAGTTCCCAACTGATGCTCATGAGTTGGTTCCATCTTGCCAGTTTGTTTCAGGATGTCTTGTTCAACGTCTGTATGCCACTGAAGCACACATCTTACATGGCAGTCTGTAAATGTCATATACAAACATTTACATAGACTTGCATGTTCATGTAAAATGACAGCTACCAATCAATTGAAACACAAAATTAAATCTAATGTCATGATGAAGCCACTGTAGAGGATGAATATTACGTGCAGTGCACCCACACAATGGTATAGGTCTGATGATATTTAACATTTACTAGGAACAGCTCAACATTGGTGGGAGGTTATAAGGGTCTGGGTTAGTGAGGCTTCCTCTTTGTGTGAGAATATATCACCGCTTGGCAGACTGTAAAAGTATCATGAAAATGTGTTTATTGGCCAATAAGGGCACAAAGATGGCTGCCTTTCAGAGTGATGTCATCCATGTGCCATTTAGTGAAAATGCACCCGGCATTACTAAACCGACATGCTCTTAGAGTATTTGAATGCTTTGATATACTGAGTCATTGCAGGCCGATTCAGTTCCTCCATGTCTCCTGTGACTGCTTCTACCCACCAGACCAGTGTCTCAGCTGTTGTTTTAGAGCTTGACAGTGCTACCTGAAATAGAAATAGCAACATTAGCTTGACAACTTAAGTCTGTGTTTAAACTGTTGCCCATGAGGAAACCTCCTCATTCATATTCCTCACAAGTGGATTGGCGCTGTAAGTGATGGAAATATAATATGACATAATGCAGCCTAAACAATGGTATAGCTATAGTTAATCAAGGCATATGCGCATGTCCGTGAAAATATATTATTAACTGGTTGGTATGTGTCAAATATAGTTGGTCAGCCAAATGCTACAATTCCAATGGACAACTTTATAATATTTTGGATGTACTGATTTGATCAAGAGTATTCAGGTCTAAAGTAAGCTTGAAGACACTTTATCACCTGCATTTATCCCTTTCTGGTTCCAAAAATTACATATTATGACCTAATGTTAGAGAAAGAAAAGCTAGATCTAGTTAACCCAACATGTAGCATGTAGCATGTAGAGTAGCATGAGGACATGGCCAAATGGATTGGATTTTTCGAAACTTTTGCCTATTTGTTACCTAAGATTTATCCACAAAAACAGCCAACAGTTTTTTCCATTACAAGAAAATGGGAGACACACAAACCAACAACAGCTCTGCGACTAATGGATTATCCAGTTGCACACATGATTTATGTTTATATTTCAGTGAAGAACAGCACTTTTCAGTCTATTTTGTGCATACAATTCAAAGATAATAAGCACTCCAGAACTAAATGAATACTTGAAAATAAGCTTGCAAAAGCATCTTCAACATTAACGAGCATTGTCAGAGGAAGATTAGCTGGGAATTCAGCAGTGTTTGTAACCACACAACTGAAAGCATCACAGCTTTTAGCACTAAAATGCTATAAAATTAGCTTTGAAAGAAAAGGACTACTGAATAACCTACATTATTAGCCAAATAAGTATACAACTACAAGTGAACTTGGAGGCAGCAGAACAAGCTGTAAATTCAACATTGAACTATTATTACATTTGAAAGTTTATCTTTTAAAGGTGTTAGCAAACAGTTGCTCATTAAGCCAGCTGAAGAATGTAAGTCCATTATTCACTTTATTTTAGCTTTGGTTTTGGTCTCCACCATCTCTTGAGAATATCTGGCTCTTTAACTGTTCAACTACGTTTACTAGCTTGCTGCTTTCTGTGTCTGCCTGTGCTTTACGTTCTTGCACAAGAAGTATGCAGTTTATTTAGCCGAGTTTTTTGCTATAATCAGGTGATCAATTAACCAACACATTTGAGTTGCAAGCCGTAAAACTGAAATTAGCTGAAGGGTGTTATTTTGTAGCGTTGAAAGGACAGGCTGTGCATCTGTGATCATTTTCTGTAGGTCTGCCACCTCAAGCAAACCTTTTTTGAACGATACAAACATTTATTGACCCATTATTCATAAAACATAAATACGCTGAAGATAACAATCATGGTTGAAAAGCTGTTATTATCAGAGGAGTATGAAGCTGGGCTGTCTGTGCTGAAGACAAATGCCGATACCACCTGTTGACAAACTGAAATCACTTGTTCGGAATAGCTGCATTTCAACATCATTTGCAGCAAGTAAACATTTACACAAAGGGTTATTATTGAAACCTTTCAGAGGTGTACTGCCATGCAAGGCTTCATCAGACTGTTTTGTTATCTGTGGCAGGTCTTTGTTTGTTTCAGTTAGTTAACATAATGACTCCAAGGCAAAGCAAAGACACCTCTGCTGGGAGATGTTAGAACATGTTGCACCTGTGAATATTAGCATGTCATGTCACTGAAACAAGTTGAAGCAGGCAGGGGGGCTACACAGTGAGGTTAGCCACATACAATGTAGACAAGCATTTTTATTAATAATTATGTCTGTGGAAATGCTAAGGGCAAAACTGGAAGGAAAAAACTGTGGTAAGGAATTGTCCATCAGTTTTCAATTTAAAACCTTTATTTATACAACCTTTTTAATTCAGATGAATGAGTGACGAGTCAGTATTCTGGTAATTCAGTATAAAGCATAGTGTTTTCTGCCGTAGGGGCCATTATGCTAATGCTGACACAATTGAAAGGGTGGCTAATATGGAGCAAAGGACCATTGGTCAGATTCAAACCTGCATGGGGTACTCGGCCTTAGTAATGGGGTGCTCTATTTAATGTTATTGCTACTTGTGTACATACATTATGCACTCGCACAACACAATGACAGTGACACAGTGTTGCTGTTAATAAGGGATGAGCAGGATCATGTTCCTAATCTGTACTCATTGGTTTGCACATCACACAGATACAAGCAAAGTCCTGCATTTAGATGCAAGCCCACAGATTTCTGTGAGGGCAGTTGTGAGTGCATAAGCCTCGCACTTTGATGTGAGATCAAGTCCATCAATAGTGCAGCTCACCCTCATGCTAACCTTGACTGGAGAGCCCAGAGAGGGAAGGGCATCTCTTCACACTTGATGGAGAAACATGCATTAATTTGTTCTTATTGATCATCTCAGGGAAAGTGCCATGACAGAAATAAGGGGGGGGAGTCCGTATCTTAGACTGCACAAGTAGCTCCGGTGTCTTGGTCTACATCCTGAGTGAGGGGCTGGGTCTCTGCAGTGAGTGCATGAAAGCTTCGGACCATGCAGTGTTCAAGTAAATCAAAGGCCGTCAGTATCTGGTGTTCAGAGCCCAGTTTAGAGATGCAGACAGGTTAACCTTTGGTGTGGCCCTCATTGGCATTTCCTTGGCAGTGCTCGTGCTACATTGTGCAGACATTTGCATTTATATTCAGTTGCAGATGATGGAGATGAAACGCAAAGACACAGCAATGTGAGATTGATAACAGAGACATGGAGTCAGTTTGAAGCCTCTGGGTTGCTCGGAGAATTAATGAAGAATGACTTGGTATACATAGCGTGGCATCAGCCACATTTTTACACATTTTGCTGAAAATGTCATCATGCTAGAGCTCAGTCTTTAAGTCCAATGTAAGTTGAATATGCAGTCATTCTCATGCAAGTGGTTTTGGGCATTCATTCAACATAAATCAGCTGACTGTGGTGCAATGTCAGCCTGTCATTTGTTGAATCTAATGCTGGTATAACTCATGCCTCAGCAACCTGATAATAAGCCTAAAATACAGTACTCCACCATCAAAGTATTTACTGGTACATTGTATCAAATGGTTGATATAATGTAGATATTTGTAGATTTACCACCAGTGGGTGTATTTTCTACTCTTTTGTTTTGTTGCCCTGTGAGAGAGTCGTGCCACTCAACCTTAGTAGGTATTTCACCTCCAGGGTTCCCCATCAGATGAGGAGGGGTCCAGTCTGTCCAGCATGGCTCCAGCGCAGCTTCAATCAAGAACCAGGAGCTATAGGGTGAGTTCAGATCCCAGATCGTCAGGCTAGGGCTGGGATGTGAACAATCCTGTCCGTGCTTCCTACGATCCCCCTAGAGAAGGGATGCAGTGTGGGAAAAGGGGGGAGGGCTCCAACATTTGCTGTGTCAGAGGCACATACAGAACATTTCAGACTATCTTGAATAATTCTTCATTTAGAGGCAAGTCATGTTAATTCATTCATTTGAAATAAATATAACTGATAAAAAATGCAATGTTAATATATGTCCTAGGATCCCCACGAGGCAGCTACTAATATACTGTAGTTAACGCCTGTGGGGCTTGAATATCGAGGCATTATCATTTTCACATCAACACAACATTTTACCATTCTGCACTGACAATAGATGCAAGTGAAAATGCCTTTGTCTTTGCGACTTGTCTGTTTCTCGTGACTTCTGTCAACACAACAAGCCTTTGCTAAACTCAATGCGTGATCATAGAAATGTGCACAAACAATCAAAACAAGGCATTTGAAAAGCATGAACACACAAACGCAGAAATGTGTGACTCTGCTTTTCAGCAGACACCTATGAGACAACACAGCCATAAAAGCTGTATAAATGATTGCTCAAATTGGCTTTTCCTATCCAATTTGCCAGAGGTAGCAAAGGACCCAATTAGAAGACATTATTAAGGAAAACATAAAAACTATGCCACCTAATATTTATTTTTATTTTTAGCAGTAACTATTCCCTAGGTATCAAGGGTGTTTTTCAAAACTGCCAGCAATAAACAAGTCTTCCTTCTGTGTCTGTTTTTTCTGACTGCTGGTGGAATATTGTTTTGACTTGACAACAGCAGCATGCAGTGTGACAACCCACTCCCATCCCTTGAATTTATGTGACCCAGTTGTCTAGTCTTTGGGTATTTTACCCTAGCAGAATCCCCATTGAAGGTTATTTAACTACTCATTGCTACCTGGCCCTGTCTACATTTGTCTCAGAGTGGGAATAAAAACTATTTCAGCCGCTTCACTCTAAAACCCAGCGAATAAGAAAAGGACAACAGGAGACTTTTCTTCACCGAAACATCTGGCAGCACGTCTAAGATGTTGGTGTTTTCTTTTGTGAGGCTGGGCTTAGGCATGACTGATCCTCTTCACGCTAGACCTCACACAAAAGGATGCACTGAAAGCACTGTGTGCAGCTGAATACATTGAAGGAATGTACAATTGAGGAGCTCTTGTTTTACATATTTGTTCAAAACAATATATTTATAGAGAAAAATGTTAACTCTACTGACTATTGCTTTTTTCATTATTGTTCAAACTGTTCTCTACTGACAAGCAGAACGACAATTACCTTACATGCAATGGAAAATGCAATTATGCAACCAAAGTACTTCAATCTGTTTTTATAATTTACTCTAATACCGTACAGTACAACCTTTACATGTACTTTACTTGAGTATTTAAGTTGTTAGTTATACTCTTCAATGAAAAATATGCCTTGTAGGTAAAACTACCCAATGGTATACAGTTGTGAATATTAGCTATACCTGTGCATTCAGATGTTGCAAAAGCAGCATGAATATATTCCAATGTGTTATTGTTGTTATGTATTTCTATTTAAGTTACATTTTGAATTCCTCACAGTATACGTCCCAGAAATGAATCAGAAATATTCATTCATTCACAATATGCTTTATATATTTTAACTTTTTGGTATTAAGACAATAATAAACTAGAGTAATTAACGCAATATAAGATTGTCACTAAAGAGTATCTTTAGAATAAATGTTTTCAAGATGTCTGAGAATGTAGAAAATTGCAGTATAGTAAATTAAGTGGTACATTGTGTACTTTTGCCCCTAAACTTAAAGGTTAAACTATTGTGTGTATATAGGTTATTCTGGATAAATAATTCAGTATAAAGTATAGACCACATCAAAACGAAGAAATAAGAACTGTGTTTAACCAACTAAAAAAACAAACACTGTGATACAAAATGGAGGAAGTGGCACCTTGAGATCAAGACACTCGACATTGCATGCAAGTCGAGAGAGCCAGCTGCCCATTTCTCATCAGTCTGACAACATACAAAATGTATGTGAGCCATAAACAATTAATCCAAATCACTGTTTTGTTGTTTCTGGCTAAAGAAATAGTGATTCCATCGCCTCGAACCACATGAATTATATGTTAACTCTCATGTCGAGTCTAATTCCAATTCATCCATACAATTTTACCAGCAGCCACAATTCGAGACAAAAACACAAATGAAAGGTTTGGCAGATTTTGAAAGACTACTATATGATGTATAATCATCTCCCTCGCTATCCTCTAAAGATAGTAATATGCCTTGAAAGGAAAACTGTATTTGTGCCAGATTCAGACTCCAGTGAAACTGCGTCTAATTGTGTCCATTGTTATGTTTTAGTGTAATTTCCTTGCCCTATGTTTTGGCAGCTGATCAAAAATTAATCGAAACTGGTGTAAGCTGGATCCTTACCATGCACTTAACTAATTGTCCCACTCCTAGAGGGAGTACGTGATTGTGCTGGGCTTTTACTAATAATTAGATACTTCAGACTAACATGTAATTGACCATCCTGCTAAGTAAATGCTATTTTAGGGGGAGTAATCTTGTTAGGCTGTTGCTTTTTTTAAATATAAGAACTATTACATGCACGGATTGCTTTTGTAGCTGCTTGTGTCCTAAAAGTTCCATTCACATAGACACTAGCATCCTGAAATTGATCATATTCAAGAATGTGAATAGACAGAAAGTAGCATTAATCTGATTCAAAGCCTTTTGTATATTATTTCAGTGATATCCAGGCTTCTTAATGTCTGCCTTCCCCATATAGACCCAGCTTTCTATACTGTCTGAGCTCTATAGCATTTGAGAATGAGCCCATTTCTGTTTCTGGCTGCGAGGACTGCTGCATTCTGGTTCTAGTTTCTTCATCTTATCAGAAGTAATAAAGGACAAAAGTACAACAGTTTATCCTCCGCCCTAGGGTTTCTAGAAGGTGGCTTCTTTCTTTTAACATGGGATGTGCGCAGGAATTGTGAGGGGCTGTTGATATAACCTAAAGAGATGAGACCTCATTCCCAATACTTAGAACAAATATAATATTCTATGTTTTTAATGTAGATTGAGATATTGTTTGTCTAGTTAGTTATTGGCCTACTTTCAAGTTATAAAAAGAGAAAATATGTGATACTGTGAACATTTCCATTAAATCAATCAATCTTTCTATAATAATACTTGCCACTTATCTTACTCCCTCAGCTCTTTCTCTGTTGTTGTAACCATTCATAACATTACTTGTTATTATCAAGAACCATATTTAACATAATTGCTAGTAGCTCATATCGCAAGCTTAAAAGAAGCTACCCTATCTTAAGTGGGTCTTCAGCTTGGTCCATTGCACGATTGCTACAGCACCCTCTTGTTGTCTACATTAGCCTAGCATGTCTATATTAGTAAAGGTCTGTAATTGTAAAGGAGGCCCTGAACAATAAGGATATTATTAATGTCAATTTAAAATAAGGTGTAATGGATTTGATATGCTGCCCCGGTTTAAGGTGAATCATCTTCTCTCTACGATGGAAGCTCATGAGTGAGCCTTATATATTAAATGACGGGTGCCAAGACAAAGTCAAATATTCCTGTTGGAGAATCAGAAAGCTGTTATGCAGCATGACATCCTGAATCAAGACTGTACATGACAGACACCGCCCCGTACATTCTGCAGAGCTGACCCTGGATCTTACCTTCCAGCCCCCACACTTAAAGTCTGTCAGGCTGGCAAAACCTTCCATATGTATGAGACAACATCTTGCTGTGTATGTAATTGGTATATTTCTGTATGAGCGCTGGAACTGAAAGAGGGGAAGATAACTGGAGGGGTGCTTAACTCGAAAGGTAATATTTTTTAAATGGTTTATTTACATGAACGCACTTGGTAAGACATGAGAGGAATTTCTAATGAGAGGAGAGTGAAGTGATAGATGTCTTAGAAGCTTTTATTATTTCAGTGCAGCTTCACGAGAAAAGGAAAGGCGTGCTTTACATCAGGGAGCAACAGCTCTAAAATATGCAACAGGCACAATATACGAGCAGATGAAATCTATCTTCATTAACATCACTAAGTGTGAATATTTTAAAGCGAAGATACACAATACATTTTATACCAGGAGCACACTAACAAGTTACAGACAAACAAATGCAGACAAACAAATGCAGTCACTGTTCTGTCACTTATTCATTGCCTTGGAACAGGCTTTGATAATCATATCTGAGAGATAGTTGTCCAAACTTTTTATTCCATCTGACTTTCAGGAAGTAAACATTACAGTTCAGACATGCATATGTTTTCTAACTCAATGAGGGAAAATGGAATGACAGGAGGAAAAACATTAATGTGTAAGTCTCTGCTCTGATGCTTGGTTATTTTATTCACCACAAACAGTAGTAATAATAGTTTTGGGTTAAGACGCCACACTAATAAGGGTTTGTGCATTTGTTTCCTATTCTTATTTTCCTTCCTACTCTCCGTGGGTTTATTATAAAACTGTGTGAAACAAAATGGCAGGCATGCAGCCTGAACAAAAACAATTTCTTGTTTAGTACTACTGAATTCCTGCAGCGTTCACTGGTTTTACTAGCACCAAGACTTGGCAATGGCATCATTTAACTCCCAGAGAGATAATAAGCATAGACTCCAAAAACATCTATGGCTTTAAAGGTTATTCTGATTATATGAATATTAAACACGCAAAAGCTAAGCATAATAGTAGTCATCTCAATGTCATTCAATAGTCAACATTTGCTGACAAAGTCACTGGTTTTGAAAACAAAATGCCAAGCATTAGAATATTGACTGCAGCAAATTACATAAATGTGGGACTTCAAACAAATAACTCACCCAGTTTAGTATGAATCATCTGTACTAATTGTTGGTTCCTGCACTCATTGGTCCAAAAAACAATATTTTATCGGATGTAAACTGCAAAATGGTTCTTAGATATGAAACATTTGTGCCCTCTAAGCCCAGAACAAAGTGCTGGAAGATCCTGAGCAGAGGTGCCAAAAAAAGTCTGTTTACTATGATGAGCAGAACAGACATTTTATATGATGAGCAGTTGACCTTTCGTGAGTTGGAAAAAGTTTGTATTTTTCCACTCCATGTAATTGCATTACAGTTCATTTTCCGGTCAAGAGACTTTGTAAAGATAGTCAAGTGAGTGGGAGCAGCACAGAGAGCTGCATAGCACTGATTTACATGTTGCAGAGGTGGTATGATATGCAGTTTCCTGAGGCATTCCACAGAAGAATGCAGCAAAATACTAAATATCATGAACCCTACTTTACAGACTCCCTTATTAGTTGGGGATAACATTTAAAGTCTGCTACACGCTTGTTTGTAAGATGCAAGAGGCCTAATAAATGGGCGTTGTGAATAATTTATGAACTTGTTTCTTCATGAGACTCATATCATTAGATCCTATTAATTGCGATATAACAGCAGAGGAGCAGACTGCTCATCTGACCAGGTAACCATGTAGCGCATGCACATGATGAAGGTAAGATCTTCTGACTCAGCTAACCCAAATCCCCCCTCACCTCTTTCTGCCCACAGCCGTCGGCCTGTGAATGGTGCCGCTGCGAACCAAATAATGAGGTGCACTGCGTGGTGTCCGACTGCGCCGTCCCAGAGTGTGTCAACCCTGTGTACGAGCCGGAGCAATGCTGCCCCATCTGTAAAAACGGTAAATACCCATCTCTTCTGGAATTCCACACACACTTCTCAGAAGTCATTACATTTTCATTAAACCAATGACGGCAAGTTTATCTGTGGTATCACCATTTGACGGTCGTGCCTTTAGACGATCAGGATGTAATTGATGTGTTATGAATTAAAATGATTACCTTGGGCCCGATGGACAATAATGAGTAGTACTAGTTTTAATTATAAATGACACACTAAGCAGAGTAAACATTAGCCCATTGATTAAAGGCACAGTAGGAAGGTCTAATGGGTCCTCTGAGAGCCTTTTAACTCCCAGTGCCCTGACGCCCTTGTCACACACAGCCAATCGCTAAATTAGAATTATAGGATTCCAATGGTTCATTGGCTATTTACAAGGCGAAGTGGGACATTTCCCTTTGCCAGCACCAATCCTGAGGGATAGATGGAGCTTTATGACTGAAGTACAGTAACTGTTTGCCTGCAATGTGATCCTGGCTGGAATGCTCAACAACACATAGTGCCTGTGGGTAATACTAAATGCACAACACAAAGTTGCAATGTTTAATCATGGATTCCTATTGTGTCCTTTTACACAGTTCATATGTGTGCTTTTGATCATTTAAGAGCTACAAGACCTAGCACAAAAAAGTGTTTCTGAAACTGATAAACAAATACATGTTCTCCCATGATTATGTGCCTTGTTATTGTATTTCATTTTCTCATTATGTTGAGGCAAAAGTATGAGTAACCCTGCTGAAAATAGGCAAAACATACAAACAAATGTTTTTTTCCCCCTTATTTTTTAAAGCAGCGCTTGACCTATAAATGTGATGGGAGGAATTTGGTTTAAGGCGGTAGCTAAATGGCTATTCCATCACAACCACTCAGATTTTCTTTCACACTATTTTCTCATTTCCACTTTATCCACCTTGCCATCTTTCCTTTATTTTCAACACACGAGCACACACAAACACCCACACTAACAAGGCTGCAGAAGCTGCTAGGAGAGAGCTAATCCAGGCTGACAGGACACAGTGACACCTTTGGCATTTCAGGGTAGGCCTGCCGTTTCCAGGCTCCCTAAAGGGTGCCTGGTCAGGCTCTCTAAAGGGTGCCTGGTCAGGCTCTGGCAGCCAGTTATCCCTATGGAAGCTGAGGGGCTGGGGAGAGGACAATGAAGAATGCTGTTTAGCTCCCATTTCCTGCCAAGGTACAGAGGGCTGTGAAAGGAAGACATCCACTTGTGTGCTCCGGTTAGACATGCAATCAGTGGAAGAGAGGTGTCTTTTCTTTACCTGCTACAAGCAGTTGGTTTCAAATACATATGTGAAATAAGCACAACTCTTTCAAAAAGCCAAAACATTTTCTTTACAAGGTAACAACAAGACTCCTAGAGAAAACCACGAGCAGTTCATACTTGAGTGTAGTGATGTTGGTGTCCAACCCCAGACCAACACAATCACCTATTACAAGTTTATTAAAAGGTGTTCATTTTCAGTGACAAGTGTTTTTTAATTAAAAAAGACTAATGCTAACAGTACAGCACGGGTTTCAGCTAAATGCTAACATCAGGGCCGGCCCTCGGCATAGGCAGTATAGGCGAATGCTAAGGGCGCATCAACCCATAGGGGGCGCCGAAAATTAGGGAGAAACAAAAAGAAAGAAAAAAACACAATTTCCCGATTTTGGATCAACAAAGTACATCTTATTATCTTATACTAACAGAACTACGCCTATATTGCGTACAGCGCCCATAAACTATGTCACACACCCCCCCCCAAAATCAAGTTGAACTGCCCCAGCAAAAAACAGGTTTATGTGAAATTGTTCTTTTTTTGAAATAATGGTTTTAGTGTGCAATTATAGATTTTAATTTTGTGTTTGTATTCATTTAAAATAAATCAAACTCCCAAAAAACGTACACAGCTTCTGTGTGCTTTTATTAACATTGGAGCTTTAGAGCGCTCTCTCCTGAAAGACTGAAAGGCTCTGATAACCTCAGCTCCGTGAGGTAAAGGCACAGAGAATAGGTGAAAAACAGGTATAAAATACTATATGACAGTACAAAAAAGTTGTTATTAATAAACAACAATACAGTTTGAAAGGGGAGCGATTTGTAAAATATCCATAAATAAAAAGAAAATCTGCTTACAGTTTCATATGGGTGTTGAGAGATGTATCCATAGATCTCCTAATGTTGCTCTCAAAGTTCACCAGATTGATGCTTTTAACTTTAATATTAAAAAAAAAAAGTCTTCCCAGGGGTGCATGCCCCCAGACCCCTCTAGAGGAGGTGAGGTCCCCCCCCCCACTTAAATCATGTTCAAATGGATAGGAAACTAAATACAGTTGCATACATCTTGTGTCCATATCTTTCTGTTTTGGTGGTCATGCCACAACCGTGCACGCGCGAGTCATAGTGAGTGTCTGCATCCTTATTTTTTTTGTGAAGTATGAAAGTGTTTAGCTTCACACAATCCTTTGGAGACACATGTCGAAATCACAAAATAATATATTTAGGGATATTATCACAAAATGGTATGTGCCTCACTAGTTCCAGAGCTGAAGAAGCGTAATATACAGAGATCTGATTGGTTACTTATTACATTAGACAGCGTTGTGGTTAAAGGGGCTGTAGCTTCTGCAGACAAAAACTGCAGCATATAAGAAGTTCTGAAATCATATCTATACTCTGCATTAGCACTGTTCAGCTCAACCCACTCACTTTGAGAAAGATAAAGAACATTTTTGGCTTCTTTTAATGTCAAAACCAATCAGAATCGTCGAAGGGTGGCCTGTTTGCTTAGGTCTGAAATGTTATTGAATGTTTAAAACGTAATTGTTGTTAAAAACACACTGATAATTTAGTTATTGATTTGGAAAGTAAAATGTGTTTTAATACTTGGGTTGAAATGAGGACACATTTGGTTGATTAGTGATCTTTTTTTCCAGATTACTTACCATAATTAAATTTAAAGCAGGTCAGAATCTTAACGCTTTTTAACTAAATGTGTTCTGGTTACAGCCGTGATATTCGGATGTCTTTTGACTAACAATGCTTCTGCATTGGCCGCCTGCCGCCCTTTTGTTGAAACTTTCCATAAATAGGATGTGGCTTTTTTGCTCATCTGCTTCTTGGTGTTTCACCCTGAAAACAGCAGCAGAAAGCAGAAAGCCGCACAATGGAATAGTCAGCCAGGGGAGGGCTTATCTCCCAGAACCATGTTCATTGAGTCCGACTGATTCAGCTCTAATATTTATCAGGAGTTATACTGTACATTTATCAGGGGATACATGTAATTATAAATTTATCAGGGGATACATGTAATTATATAATTCTCATGAAGATATTTATAATGAGAAGTAGTGAATTGGCCAGCGTTCTGTCACTAAGATAGGATTAAACCATGTATAGATCTCTCTGGAAACTGTCACTGTGGATTTTTAACAGACGTATCATGCAGTAGCAGAGCCATAGAGCTGACTGCAATGAGGTAACACATTCAGACTGACATTTATATGGACACGCAGCAATTTTGTTGTGAATTAGAAGTTTTTGGCAGGTGGTTTTGAATGGAATCATTTCCCACCTCTAGGCAATAGCTATGATTATATTTGAGCCAAATCGACTGTAATGAGCCTTAATGCGTATTCACTCCTTAAGCTGCAGTCAGGGAAAGTGTAATATGCAGTGACAGTTTGACACAGGACAAACATTTTCTGACTTCACTACATTTGATTTGCCATGAATCGATCACAGGCTCGGACGGGTGACAGTGTGACAGTGTGTCCTTCGGACAGTGACAGGTAGCGGAAACTCTGTCCTTGTGGCTCCAAGTCTATCCGGCTATAAACAATCACACTTGGCAGCCAGAACCAGTGACCCTCTTCCCTCATCAACCTCCACTGAGTTTGTCCTGTAACCTGTGCCAGCTGTCCAGAGGTGGATCAATGAGAGTTAAGACTTGGCAAGCGTTCACAATGTCTCCTCTAAGCTCAGATCAAAGAGCTTTTATCAGATCCGGATAGATAAAGGGACTCATCTGTGCTAAGGCAAAGGTTGGGGGTACTAAGTAGCCAACACCTCCTTTTGCAGGTGTCACATGGATGTTTTTGCCCCTCTGAAGCTTGTTTTCGCTCATAAACACTGCAGAAGATTAAAACTAGGCCGACAAACATCTGAACCAAAAGCTTGTGAAACATTGCGAGTTACTGGCCAACCCTAGTTGACTAACGTTAGGCTAAATTTGACAACATAAAGCATAAAGTGTTCCTTTGTCAGTTTGGAAAGTTCTCCTACCTCTTTAGTTAAACAACCATATACAGTCTGGCGGGCGTTACCGCAGCATCCGGACCAAAACCACCAGATTCAGAGACAGTTTCATCCCACAGGCAATAAGACTGTTAAACACCTGAACTGTTGAAACAACATCCATAACATTCATCTGCTACTTAGTAATTATTTATCTATTTATCTAATATATCATTCCAATAGCTTGCATATAGACTCTTATTTAACTTTTTTTAAACTATTTTTCTTTTTGTATTTACTTTTTAATATTTACTTGTACTATATTTTTCTGTTTTTCTGTATTATTGTGTTGCACTGTTGGAGAAGCCTGTGACCTAAGATTTGCATCGACATAACTACTCATAGCTATGTTCGTATGACAAATAAAGAACCTTGAACAATTTAAAAGGTAGGGTAGGTAATTAACTTCAAAATGAAATGAATACATTAAATACTTTGACAATAAATACATTAAAAAATGTCATCTGTGGAAGACGTGGCACTGTAAAAAGCAAGATCAATTATTTGAGCCGGCCCGGCTAAAATAACTGGATGGCCTACCTGCCTGTCAGCCTTCCATCTCGTGCACAAACTTATCTCGTGCACAAACTTATCTCGTGCCCTCCTTGGTCATGTGCGCTTGCGTGTGTGTTGGAGGAGGGGCTCTGTAAGGAAGTCTGAAGGAAGGGGCAGATTTTTTTCGGTTGCGTACTTTCAAATTCTAGCGCACTCGAGCTGGTTTCTCCATTCTTACCTACCCCACCTTTAAGTAATGAAACTAGTAACATACAGTACACAATAACAGCCATGCAGCTAGGTTTGACCTATTTTTACTTAACATGTTGAAGTACTTTCACATTTAGTGGAGTATGTTCACAGTTTGGTACTGCTACTTTTATTTTTAAAGAATCTGAAGGATTATTTCCCCTCTGTTTTAGGAAATTAGTACATTCAATGTCATGCCGCTGCTTATATATTGAAGAAGTCAATCTGACCCATTTGACTTGTCCGTGTGACTTTCAATTTTTATCGAAGACCATGGTCTTTACATTACCTGAATGTGTGCTTTGAGTTGCCTCATTATCACCACAGAAAACAGTAATAGGCCTATTTTACAGTGTATAGTTTGACAATCATAGTTACTATAACATCGACAATGGCTCAGTTATCTGTGAAGGTGTGACAGTGAGCTAACACAATACCAGGACCCTGAAATCAAAGCAGATGAATGGAATACAACCATTATAAATTTCGATAGTTATACATGGGACATGTCATAATGTCCTCCATGAAACGATCCTATGTTGTGCTCAAGTTGAGTAATTGTGCAGATTTGCACACATCTGGCCGTGTCCCCAAATGTACCCTGTGTAACTCGGCTCTTCAGATGTACCATACAGTTACACACTTACAATGCCACCATTTCATTTGCCTGTACTATATCAAATTAGCTAGTTCACAAAGATGTCCATAAAAGTTTGCCGTGAAAGCTACTTTGTCTTCAAGAGTTATGAGACGTATGACTTTTTTATGACTTTTAAGACTCGTGGAGTCTGGGGTCTAGCAGATTTTCTAGTGCCGAATGCTGAGAGCATTCCAAAGTCCCCGTCACACCAATTGAGCTGTTGATTGCTTCATCTAAATGATTAAAACCAGGAAAAATGCATAGCACATTCTCCCTCTGCCGTGCTGTCTCAAAAAGTAAAGGAGTGAGACGACTTAGATTTAATAATTTAATGTGGTATTTACCAATAATAAATGCATTTCCACAAATGCTACAGTGTTTATGGCTTCCTCGAGTACAGATCTTAAAATGTACCCAGGCAAAATCTGTCTCAATAGACCGAAATGATCAGATATGGGTATGAGGTGTTCCAGTGGTATATAGTCAAACACCTTTTAGAATTAAAGATATCAACAGAAAGGATCCGCACAAGCAAATCCTACAGTGTGTTAGGGATCAGCAGGTCTCCCTTGAAAAAGAGATCAATGATCTCAATGGGATACACCTGGGTAAATAAAGGTTTGAAATGAAATCAATCAGATGTCAAAATTAATCTGAGTTCTTTATTGTTTTAGAAGTCAGCACAGAAGTAGTGTGGGGAGAAAGCATGTAAGGAATTGCTAAGGAGTTCTGTGGCCTTTTCATACAGACTGAAGTGATTAACACCATCCTGCCTCTCAAAGCAGCGCTCTCTCTCTCTCCCTCTTTGGCTCCGTCTCTCACTCCCTGTACTCCAGCCTCTCTGTACTGCCAAGCCAGCTCCTGGCAGGCTTCTCCTCTTGCAGCGCATTAGGATGCAAAGCGCTCCATGTTGAGGGAGAAGGGGAGACTAACAAAAGCGCTTTAGTGTTGCAAAAACAAGCCCATCAGTGCATGCCCGTGAAAAGATCTGTACGTCTGCTCTGACTCCTTTAACTCCCCGCAGCTCTCCGCATCACTCCACCACACCTCAGAAAAGGAGAAGCCCTCAGGAGAACCACATCCATTTCTTGTCGTTCTCACTCTTGTCTCTCTCTCCCCCCCCCTTTCCTCCCTTCCCATGCGGCAGGTCCAAATTGCTTTGCTGGAACGACGATCATCCCAGCCGGAATTGAAGTGAAGGTGGACGACTGCACCATCTGCCGCTGCCACAACGGAGATTGGTGGAAGCCGGCTCAATGCCTGCGGAGGGAGTGCCTCAACGGCCAGACGTTGTCATAGAGAGACTCCACCGGGGATGGTGGAAAAGCTCAGGCAAGGCCCTGCCTACTGCACCATTTTGTATGATTGACAGGGCAGGAGCACAATTCCTAAGCAACCTGAGACAGCATAGCATCGAAGAGATGCGCTCACAAGCTTCACACAAACACAAATGTTGCCACCGAGAAGAAGACGGAACTTGTCTCAAGGCCGTTTCCACCCTCCGGTTTGAATCGTCCTATATATATATTTTCAGATGTTGACTTGCTGCTCTCACACAAAAAAGTTTCTAAGCTCTTTGAACTTTTTCCTAACCATTGGCAATGTTGAATTGCTCATGTGGATTTCTGTATGTATGCCATCTGCTTGTTGTACGTGTCTGTCACAATCACGCAGGTGTTGTATTATTCCAACAGCAGGCAAAACAAACCGTAAGCACACTTAACAGCGCTTTTTCTGTTTTTGTCATAACAGGATCAACACCGGTAAAAGCACTGCATACGTAGGTGTTTCACAACTTCACTCTAAGAGCTTGTTTACAAGATGCACATCACACATTACTGTTTGTGTCTTCATAAGACTTTGTATCACTATGGCAGGAACTCACCTCTAACACTTAGATGATGCTACTGTCCATTTTATAAACTGCTGTAAAACCCCAGAACACTGATTTGTGTGCATACTATGGTTTTGAATCATGTCTCTGTATAGAAGCAGCACAGCCAGGGGAAGATGGAAAGAAAGGAAAGTTGGTAGAGAGCAACTATGAGAACTCTGCATCACAACAACAAGTCTGGGCAGCCTCTGCTGGCTTAATTGTCGTTATTGTTTTCTCTCAGTGGTCCATATTCTCGAAAATATTCCCGCTAACTAACTGCTTGAACTTGTTATTAAAGCAATTAGTGAGCCAAAAGCAGCCTGCTTTAATTTCCTTTAATCAAGGAGTATTCTGTGATAGATCATCCAGCTGGGTGCTTGGCGCTGCCGCAGCCTGCATGCTGAGCCCGCTCCAGAACCAGCAGACAAAAGGAGGGCATCTGCATTTGTCTAAATGCTTTTTAGGCAGCATTCACATGCACATTGTCCATGAGAGCATTCACAATCACACCATTCATCGGCAATCTCAAAGCCACAGTGTGTTGATCTGCACCCAGTGAAGACCATAAGGCTTGGTCAAATACAAATCTCTAACATAATGTAATATATTTTCAGTTCCACCCGTTCCCCATATGTTAGAATAGCTCTCCCGATGTGGCAATACGATAAGAGACAAGCTAATGTATTGCCTTGATATTTTCCAGACCAGAGTGGTCCTTAAGTGGTCAAGTCTGAAGAAAAACACCCAATTAAAGCCCCAAACACCATTTTTTGAGGAAATGATAAATAATAGTCATTAATTCAAAGGTGAATTCCAGTAAACTCATGCCATTCATCAACAGAATATTTTTCCATTTCCAGAAAATCCGTTCCTTTTAACCTTTTAGACACTATTCCAGGGTGGTGATGGATGGGTTGCTTAATAGCAGCTCACAGCACTCTGTAATGAGCCAGACATGAACATAGGATACAGCCCAATGACTAAAGAGGTACATTACCTAAAAGGCACTAAAACTCATTTTAAAAGTATGCAGCATAAGGCTGCAGCACATGGTTGTTGGAGGAAAGAAAGGAAAGAAGCGTGGGTGCATTTCAATATAAGGTGCAACAACAAGGCTAGGGGCATTTGATCATTAAGCTACAGTGATTTAGTGTCTCTTAATATGAAAAGACATTCCTCATCTATCTGGATTGAGGTCCGCAGACTCATAAAACAAAACTGACATCTACAGTTTATCAATCACAGCGTCAGTGATCCAGACATTTTCAAATGAATAAAAGAGCGTCATTATTCTTAATTACTTTAGATGCCAAATCATTATTCAGCAAATATATTGAATACCTTTACTGGGTAGCAAAGAGCAGAGTGAGTGTTCCAGGGCTCAGAGGCATGGCTGCCACCACCGATGCCTTATTACTATTCCAGATTAGATTTACTTAGCATGGCCTTTGGCTTTATACAGTGTGAACAGCTCAGGCTGATTTAAGCACGGCTTTGTTTGCGGTGTAAAGTTATGTAATGCCCAAAACGAGCAATTCCTGTAACTGCCAGAAGGGGTGAATTAGCGGGAGTATTGGGGCTACAAGTGCTAGGACATTTATTCAATAACGGGTGGAAAATCCGATCATAATTAACAGATAGATTGGGAAATACACTGTTTTTGGTTTAAGTAAGTGTGGAAGAAGACAAAATGGCCGAAACAAGTATCGCAAAGATAGATTCAAATGTCAATGTGAGTTTTATTGTTGTGATTTAATTTCCTTCTGACTTGGGATTCCATTACTGCTCTTCTCATTCATTTGCAAGCTGTCAACAAGGTATGAGCGTAGAGGGTGAAGGTCAAAGCATCAAGAAAAAGATAATGGAATTGTTCCTCCAAGAGTTGTGATTTAGTCTGCTTGTGGAAAGCAAAAAATAATAAAAATCCAATCAAAAAGCAATTCATATATTCAAAACAGACAGATGAGGAAAACGGTGGAATATGTGTTCACCCCAGCAGACTGGTGCATATGTCGCTCTGCACTGCAAAATGGTTGAGCATAAACAGTTGTCATGGAAATGACTTTTAAAGCTGTCATTTACAACTAAAGAGGAGCGTTTAGGATCCGTGTAGATTAACATGCAGTAGATTCCTTTGTGTGTCGTTTGAAATGGGCTGCATTTAAGAACACAATAAGAAAAAAGGCATTTCAGAGGCTCTGCCCGGGCAAACCGAGGGACATTACATTTCTCATTGCAGATATGTGAAGCTGCAGTTTCAAGGACAGCAGTCTGTCATTTGTTTTCTGCCAGGAGATTGTGAGTCTGTATGTCCGTCTATAAATGTCTATTCCAACCTCCCCCCCATCGTCTCATTGTTCACACTGCAGGCTTGTACATGTGCATTTTGTAATCGGTACACCATCCGCTCTTTCCATGAGACACCGACTAACTGTAGCTGGAAACCATGAATGATTTTTTTTCTGGTCGTTTTTGTTTGTTTTTTTAGCAACAAAACTGTTACATAAAGTGTGCCTGAAAACCAACACAGTACTATGTGGAAAACGGAGAGAAACACTGTTATTATACAATCAATTGTAGATTTGGGGGCACCAAGGGTCTGTTCATTCAAAGGTGGGATAGTATCATTTCTATAAGGACATTAAGATTCATGTTTAAAATGAACAGCATCTTTGATTGTAAATGACCACATGCTTGCAGGTTCACGCTGTACAAGAAACAACAAAACCACATTTAAAAAAGTTAAAGAACCCTTGGTGTCCCCATGTTGTTCATATGTAAATATCTTTAAAACGTATATAATGTGTATTCTGAATTCTGAGGTGGAGTAAAAAAAAAAAAAAGACGTAAGAAATGTGAAAAATGTGTATTATTCATGGAGGCAAAAACTATTTTATTAAATAGACATGAAAAGAAGTGTTATTCAGCAAAAGTGAGTGTGGATTTCTTTTTTGTAAACATGCTGATGCTTCTGGACACAATTCAAGATGAACAACTAAGGGAACATGTGTAATATAAGTCGGCCAAAAGAACAGATTTTCTCGGCACAAACACAAGATGCAAAAAACAAGAAACAATGTGTTTACCCACGACACAGCCAAACTCCGGGCCATTTTTCCGACGCTAAACATTGCAGGATAAATAAAAAGGTGCAGTATTTTCCTGGGGCTATGTGAGAAAGACTAAATATAAAATACCAGTGCTTAATGCTTGTGAAATGCTCAGTGCGTTCAAGGGCATTACTCACAGGTTCATTCCTGCTTCCATTTCATTACAAGTCCGACTGGGCTTCTATCTCGTCCGCACTACTAATTGCTTTCCAGCGCCTCCCGCCGTGGACAAGAAAAGGAAAGCAATTTTATGCAGCACATCGAAATCAATAGCAATTAGGCGCATCCCAGACTAATCCCATTGAAAATGGCATCTTGGGAGATGGCCAGTAGGCGACCTCTTAAAGCACACATACCTTCAGGCCAGTGTTGGCAGTGGGGAACACACACACACACGCACACATTTTAGGTGGACACAGCAAGTGCCAATGCTGTGACGGAACTTTAATTGCTTTGTTTTTCCTACTATACACTTTTTGTTGAATCTTTGTTGATCTTTTCAGGGACCTACTCACTGCATTTGTATCAAACACGCATTATCAATTAGATATGTATCATTGTGTGGTAAACTAGTGCAGATTATGGAATGCAATCGCACTCTAAAACCACAGTAAATACAGCGGCAGGCTAGACATTGATTTGAGTGCGACACAAACACAACAGATACAACTGCATACATGTGCTAGTGATAGTGGAGAAGGACCAACAGCGATGCAGGAATTGTTGGTGTGGTGAAGAGGGAGCAATTTACCAGTAGATCTACTTCATCTATGGCCAAGAGCTCGGGGTAATAACCTGAGGAATCAGAGTGAGGACACAAGCAGCTGGAGTGGGTTTCCTTCACAGTGTGGATGTGCTCACCTTTAGAAAGAGCGAGGAGTCTGAACATCTGGATTGATCCCAAGTAATGTTTCTGCTTCTTCACGATGCAGGAAGTCAGTTAAGGTGCCTCAGGGCATCTGACAGGGTACTGCAAGCTTCCAGGTGAAGGGTTTGTTCCAGGCGTGTTCATCACAACAGTATAAGCACTTGTTTATAGTGTGCATCATAGTGAGACATATTTCACCCGCGAAAAATGAACAACCAGCAAATTGGGCACATTGGCACTTTATTATTTTAAGCAACATTAAAATGTTTTGGTGATAACTGTCAACTTAATCATTGCATATCAAAAAGACAAAGAGAGAACATGATGACCATGCTTAAGGACACGTTATAAAAGAGCAAAATTGTTATTGAATATATGAAAACCTGTTTAAACCGATGTTTGAGGGTGAGACACGGGGAGGAGTCGGAAGGCAGCGATGCAGTCGATGATCCAGTTGGAGGGAGCGGACCACACCTTACCCCTCCTCACCGCTGGTGGCTTGTGGGGGCCCTGGCGGTCAAAGATGATGTACTGGGTGCAGAGGGCCTGGTCGGAGCCCGGCAGAGCGTGGTAGGCCGCAGCTCTCAGGGTCTGCGTCACGTCGCTGTCGGGCTTGGGCTGCCGGATCAGGAGCTGACCCCCCCCCCCCCCTGAGCAGCTTGGTGAGCTCGTCTTTGGACGGCGCTTTGAAGGAGCCAAGGAGGAAGAAGAAACAGCCATCGAAGAGCGGTGGGAGCTACAACATATTAATTCAAGCATTAGTGGGGGGGCTTTTATTAAAGGTCCCCTATTATACTGTTTTTCATCAATATATTATAGGTCTCAGATATATACAAAACATGTCTCTGAAGTGTTTGGCTCCAAACACCAAACAGATCATTGCAGCATTACCCATAATCCCCTCTGTTTCAGCCATGTTTCAAAAGTGCTGATTCTGGGTCTGTTACTTTAGATGAAAATAAGGAGCCCCTCCCCACGCCCCTCAGAGATATTTGGTTAGAAAGAACACAAAGGTGCTCTAAGAGGAGATTCAGGTGCTAAGGAGGGGGGGGGGGGGGGTTACCTTGGTTGCTGATTGGCTAATGGTTACACAACCCAAAAAATCATTATGACATAAAATGGCCAAAATCTGATCAGCTCATTTTCAGACGGGTTTTTATATAAATGGATCAGGACAAAAAGAGAGCTAATCTTTTTTTCCCTGAAACTTCCAGAATCTCTTTAAACAGAGGGGACACATGTTGATGTATAAAAGACTTGAAAATGTGGATTTTGCATAATAGGTGACCTTTAAAATCTAAAACACAACATTATCTTCTTTATAAAAAAACATGTTAGACACTCCAGCCAACACCAGAATAAAAACCTCAGTTCTTGGAAGAACAGTGGCACAAGGATTAAAGTCTCTCCTTTTGTCCATGACGGAGTTAAACTCTGAATCATTTCTTTGCCAATAAATCTAGGGCTCTCATATTTCTAAGTGTCTGTGTGGAGGCTTTGTATTTACTTCTTTGCAGTAGAGCCAGGAGAGCATTTATCAGCACCGTTCTCCATGCAGACCTCAGAACCATTTAGCATTGGTGTTCAAAGCAGCAGTGAATTAGGCCACTGGAGACTCTTCTGTTCTCTGCACCAATGAACTCGACTGTTTTTGGGGAGTAAACCGGTTCCCTCAAGAGTTTCTAGTGAGAACAATATTTGACTATTTTGGTTGGGTTTCACTTTCACTTGGAAATGGAAATGTTAAATTTGCAAGACAGACAGAAAGAGAATCTGACAATACGGATAGCCTAGATCTACGAGAGCATGTGTTTATAACCATGCCTGACTGCACAAGCATCAATATAACAAGCCCTGTATAGACTACACAAGTGCCGATCCTTAAAAATATATATCTCTTACAATTTAATACAGACAATGTTTATTAGAAGTTACTACCATCTGACTTTTTCATATTTCATTATTTTACTTATTTCAGCCTTGAGGGTGTCTGTATACGCGTTGCCATCTAGAAGAGGCAGGGTGTCCCTGTTCTTTCTAAAATGACAAAAGCTCTGTCAACTTTCATAGGGCTCGGAATGGAAGCTGCAGTCCTCGTTTGCACTGAGGTCAGGACTCTGACTCGCCCACAGCGGGACATTAATGTTGTTGATATTTGGTAGGCTCTCCAGTACAGCCTTGACTTTGTTTGGAGTAGTTGCTGCTATGGGAAATAAATCCTCTCCCAAATTACAGCTCTCTCTCTCACAGCAACAAGGCTTCCTCCAGGACTGTGCTAGTATTTTGCTGCATTAAGTTTACTCTCCACCCTTATAAACCTTACAAGGCCTCTTGCAAAGAAGCTTCCCCACTGCATCATCCTTTAACACGGGGCTTTGAGGTGGGGTTAGTGTGTTCCTGCTGGTGTATGGTATTTATTTAACACCAAAAACAGCCTTTGATATCGTCTAACCCTGCCCTCCCTAATTGATGACTCACTCGTCATCCTGCACGAGTTTGTGTCCATTGTTCTGAAAAACGCTGATCAGAGGTATATTTGTGTTATCGCAAAGGGTTGAATGCTGATGTTATCAATGTTTCTATCTACTATTATTACAAGTTATGTCTATAGTTAACCTAATATGATCAGATCTGAAACATTTGAAGTTTTTTCTTTTGGTGCAATTAAAAGAAAAAAACAAAATTACAAATTGGAGTTTCAAAAATCCAAGGAAAGAATTAAAGGAAGTACTTGTCATGCTACTCCATGCTGATGAGGAAGAACAATGCGTCACCGTCTGGAAAGGCAAGACAGAGTCTAGACCAGGGGTGTCAAACTCAAGGCCCGCGGGCCAAATCCGGCCCGTGACCTCCTTTGATGTGGCCCACAAGAGCTTGCAAATAATATATAGTATAACAATTGGTGTAATTGTTGAATATTTGCTTTAAACTATTTGCCCTAGACTTCTGCTTTCAGACGTAATTATTGATGAAGTTATTACCAGAACTGATAATAATCCAATGCAGAGCCAATAATGTAATGTAATACATTATTTAATATATGATATATTTATATATGTAGATTTATATAGTCTTAACGTAACAACCGGCCCTTTGAGTGCAACCATAATTCTGATGTGGCCCGCAATGAAATTGAGTTTGACACCCCTGGTCTAGACAATCTATAATCATCTATTAGAGGAGTTTGTTTGTGTGCGTCTCAATTACCAAGCTGCATCTGTTGATGCGACTTCGCTGTGGGCCTTCTCCCGCTTCGTGCTCATTTTCGGGGATCCACTCGCCTGCCTGCAGACATGCCTCCACCCCTGGCATCAAAGAAAAAGAGAAAGTTACAGCTAATTATATTGACTTAAAAGAGTGTGACAAGGCAATTGTGAGGGGAGAAAGACAAAGCTCATGTTGAGTTGGAAGATTGTAGTATTGGCAGAGCTGCAGTTGTTGACAGAGAGAGATGCCCACAGCGTGATGGAGTTAATGATGCAAGCCTCGTTTTAAGCATCTCCAGCTTAAGCAGAATTCGAGCATCATCTCTCGCTCTCTTCATCTCTGGAGGTTTTACAAAGTCAAACTAGTGCCGTGTGACAGCCAGCATCCCAGCATCTTTTCAGTTAGAGAATCATCTTTATTTCTAAATCCTTAAAAAAAGCATCTTAAAAGACAGAAACATTTTATTTGAAAAGAGTGTAGGCATCGGAGGGAAAAAAGTTACATATTTGAATGAGCCCCCCACTGTCACAGATAAGAAATGCTTTTTAACACAACACCGATCCCTGTGCTGCAGATCTCTGTAAATGTTCTGTTATTGAATACCATGGTGGGGTATAAGAAAAAGTTGTATATTAAAACAAACTACACTTGTTGTAAAAGA